CATGCATTCGTTGTTATCTTGGTCCGAAGTCCAAACTAGTATATAAACAGTTTAGGCAACGACGAAATACTGCAATTATGAAATTATGTTGAAATTCAAGATATCAAACCCCTAGACTAAAAATCTCTTATAGATCAATAAGGAGGAATCTTGTTGAGCCAACTCATTGCTACCCAAAGAATTTTGTCCGACTCCTGAATACATGCATATTATTTCATTTAAAAATGAAAGAGTCCAAGCCATCCTTTTGAAAAATATATATCACCACAAAAAGGGCAAATGTAGCTTTCAGCCGCCTCCCGTACCCTAGCCCAAACTTGCAATGCAGTGTTTCAATCATGCCAACTTGAAGATAATGGATGAACTACCATTTCGACATCATATTATTAGTAATTCATATTCAAGAAATCAAGTGTATCGATTTGGGGATATGGCATCTGCATTGCGAATTTTTGCTTTAATATTCCTTTGTAACTTGAATCGAGCAAAGCTACTGGCCGGGATGCAAAATCTCTATTTCAGTTTGTAGTCTTCCTAATGAGATGACGAAAAGACAAACACAAAGAACAAGAGCTCACGGACGCATGAGGTTCCTCGGGTCTAGTTGATTCTTTCATGCCCATTTAACACAAGTTCAAGAATGAAAACAAATAAGTACTAAGCACACCAAGCAAGCAGAAGAAGGGGAGGAAAAGTGGAAAACTCCACGCACTCACACCACAAATGGCACAAAAAGCACACAACACAAATTGATGTAGCATCACACCCTTATGCACATGTACATGATTTTTTTTATTTTTTGAACCTTTTTAATTTTTTTATTTTAAAAATAAACTCGATCTCCTAAGACTTATTTTTAAATATGAACCTTTTGGCCACACCAGATGGATTGGCATGGGGAAACAATGATATCACACTAGTCTAGTTAGCATGGCAGCATTATTTGAAACGCAGCACATGCTACAAGGTCAACAACTCTACCCATCCCCATGCATGGCAGAAACTAAGGTACATGCATTATTGGTACGGAGTTGCTAGAAATATGGCGCCTGCTATAGTCTATTTTTTTGAGCCACTTTGCACAGTAGTTACACCTCATTTACACTCCACTTACATATGTAATTAGTATGTAATTTTTGAATTTACATATGTAATTTTAGTACTTACATATGTAATTTTGAGACTTACATTGTATATACACTAAAACTACATTTGTAATTTAGGGACTTACAATGTAAATACATGCCGACTATTTTTTGATGAAAAATATGGCGCCATAAATATAGCTACACCCTTATTGTTATGCTTAGCTCACTCTTTCTTCATGCCTTCGGTTGCTTATTGCTTCAAGAGAAAGTTTAAATGAATTATATAAAAGAATCTATCCATCCAACAGGTGAAAATCTTATGGATCGGTTGTTTAGAAAGTCTCAGTTGGATTTGTTTTTCCTTGAATACGCAATAGAACTGCTTATCATTTCATTAAAGAAGAATGGATTAAAAATGTCATTGTACAAACACAAACCCCAAGAGAAAAAAAAACAAACAAGCTAAGCCTAAACACGCCTAGAGATAAGTTCTGAAAGGTGCTTGGCCCCCGTTGTACACCACAAAACACCCTCCTCTCTAATCGCTCTCATAAACCCCACTAATATCAGCAGACACGGAATTAAAAACAGCATTGCCCTGTGTTTCCAAAGCACCCAAACAACAAGGATGACCCAATCATTAAGGCCATGTTCAACGCTCCAGCGTGGAGCGTGGTCTCACCACGCCCGAGACGAATATTCGTGCCACATCGCCTGGGACTGCACCCTCGCCTAGCGTCGCGACGCTCTGCTGAGGGTCACGTGGTTTGGGCAGCTTTTGGGCGAGGCACGTGCGAGGAGCTGCGTTGGGGAGATGCCTCGCCCCAAGCCATCGCCCCGCGCCGTTGCTGCAATGACCTCCCGCGCGAAGATGGCAAGGAGCCGAGGAGGTAGACAGAGAAGAAGATGGATCCCGGCGCCGCCGTGGCTCGATCTGCCGCCGCCGCCTCGATCTGCCACCGCCGCCGCCTCGATCCGCCGCCCCCGCCTCGATTTGCCACCGCCGCCGCCACCGCCACCGCGGCCTCGATCTGCTGTCGCGTGCTCGATCCACCGCCGCCGCTGCTCGATCCAATGGGCACCGCCTTGATCCGTCGGATCGTCGCCGAGCCACTCGATGCGCCGCCGCCACGGCCTTGATCCGCCGCTGCGCACTTGATCCGCCGCTACTGCGCCTCGATGCGCCGCCGCCACCGCATGATCCGCCGCCGCGCGCTCGATCCGCCGCCGCCGCCACCGCTTGATCCGCCGCCGCGCCTTGATCCGCCGCCGCCGCTGCCGCCTAGGACCAGGGAGAATGGCAGCGCCGGGAAGGGAGAGCCGGATATCTTGAGAGAGAGGATGGGAGAGATGGGGAGGGGAGATGGGGAGGAGAGATGGGGAGGAGAGAGGGGTTGATGTTTATATATGTATGTGATTTTTAGGGGGTAAATTGCAAATAATGGATGTATATGCAAATAAAAATAACTCAAGGGCTTAAATGTAAAATGTGACTGACTGCCAGGTGCTGCAGTGTAAAAATGAAATGGGGATATGGCTTGCACTATGTGAGGCATATCCCTACATGGGTGCTTGATCACTTTTCCTATGGGGGTGCACCCTGCATTGGGCATGCACTAAGGCTTTTCTTCAATTGCTTGTCCACTCTCTTAAGTGATCAGCCAAAATAACGGACGACAAGGGTGGCAGTTGTTGTCTTATCACACTACACACCCCTAGGCAGATATCTGACTTGTCGCCCTGAAATGGAAAGACAATCGAGTGCCAAAGGCAAGAAAGCTTGCACTGACAAACCACCGTTGGTGGGATGGTAGTGGCCCTATGCCCGAGCACCTTGTCGAAGACTTGCTCAGGTACCACGGGGATTGTGCCTAAGCTTAGCCATTGTGGCCGAGAACTCGGGGCTTTGCATTACTTGTCGTGGATCTCACTCTGCCTTGTCATTATATCATTAGGGAGGGTCATGTGTTGATCTATGATCGGCACGTGCCTTCTTCAACAAATCGGGAAAGAGATGATGTGACACCAACACTCCCTGAGCCGTTGACCATGGGGACCCTGGTTCTTATGTGATTGGCAAAGTCCTTTGGCATGGTTGAACTGGAGCAAGCGTATAGGACGGGGGATGGATGCAGGCTTCCCGTGCAGGGCGAATCCATCAAAGTAAGCTTCAATAGGTTCTAGAGTACCCTTTGATTATTAATTTTGAACTACATATGATATCTGAGACGAACATTCCATGGAGAATAGCAACAGGAGTCGGGAGGTTGACGAAGATGAACATGAGCACTTGGGATGATCGTGACTGGGCAGAGGCTGAAGTGGTATGCTTTAATGACCCATTTGGCCAATTTGATACTTCAGGCCATAACAGTTGTTTGGCTCATAACAGATTAACTCCTTTAAAATGGTTCGACTGGAGCAAGCATATAAGACGATGGTTGTAGGCTTGGTGCAGGGGTGGATCCACTAGGTAGGGTTCATTAGGCTTTAGCCTACCCTTTGATTTTACCAAAAAAAAACCTATATGATATATGAGATGAGCGGCATTGGATAAGAGGAATATGCATTGGGAGGTTGAGGAAAATGCACAGGAGCGCTTGGGGTGATTGTGATTGGTGCGGAGGCTAAAGCCGTATGCCTTAATGGTCGGCATTTCATGCCACAACCCACTAGTTAATTGGCCCATAATATATTAACTCCTGGCAGGGTTAGAGTATAACAAGAGTGTACGACACGACCGACACGCCATGACTACATGTTATTGGTGCTATATATTAAACACCGACACATGTCTATAGGATAATACCACTCCATAATCCCCATTGTAATTTTGAAAAGAAAAATCTGTAATTTATAAAATTACACAAGGCTAAGCTAGTGGGAGCTCATTACAGATTTTTATAAATTAATTGTACTTGTACATGCACATGTCAGGTGCACCCCAAAATTCAATTTTTATACAGCTTGCACTGGCCAATTAGATTGCTTAATTTTGACATGAGGAGGAACGGCTGACCCTTGAGCTAGGTAGTAATTAACAGTGCTCCACTGGCCCTTAAACCTTACTCCAATCAATAGTGATTAATATACAGCACACGCCAGATATCTGTACATGTCTGATCGCGCGCTGGCAATAGATAGATAGATAAATGAGATACAAAAATAACCTGTACTGCACATAAATCCTGTATATGTGCACAACAGCAAACGTACACATCGAAATCTTTTATCTGTACTGCGGATGTAGACATAGTACGTAGGTAAGATTAGCAATACCTGTACATCCTAATCAAATACCTTTGAGTGAGCAAGATAAACTCGTTATATATTATTCATATATATGATCTCCAGAAAAGAAGCAGCAGAGATATATAGGTGCAAAATATATGTGTGCATATATAAACATAATTGGAAGATGATGAATTGGGTATATTGATGCCATCCTGAAGCTGTTACTCATAAGAGCAAGTACAATAGCAAGCTATAAGCATATTTCAATGAGATAAAAGAGCAGAGAGAAGTAGCGGGCTACACATTTGTAGTCAGCTGTAGCACGGACTCTAAGATGCATGTGTGTATGATAAGTGGGACCAGATATTAATTATGCAGTATATGTTTATAGATAACTATTGTACGAATTGGCTATTAAGTTGGCTATAGATGATTTGGAGCCGGCAGTTAGCTATGCTATTAAACTTGTTGTAAAACCCTTCCCCGGAATCCAGGATGCACTGCGAGCATTTACCATGACATTAATTATCGTGTTAATTATTATCCAGGTATTAGCTAGCTTGCAAACACCTGCTAGTGGAGTAATGTTGGAAGATTTGCCTGCACAGTGACAACTCACGATACGCGTCAGGTCAGGCCTATATATACCCGTTTTGTCCATCGATCACCTCCATCCCAAACTCATCTATAGCCTCTAGTTGTAGCAGTAGTCAGATCGAAGAGAGGTGTTGGATCGATCATGGTGGCGAGTAGGCGGAAGATGGAGAGCGAGGAGGCACGGAAGGTGTGCTTCTCCAAGCGCCGTGCGGACCTCTTCAAGATGGCGAGCGAGCTGTCCGTTCATTTCAACGCCGACGTGGCGGCTGTCGTCTTCTCCCCCGCCGGCAACAGGGCCTACTCCATCGGCGACCCGTCGGTCATGGACCGCTTCCTGTCGTCGTTGCCGGCGCCGGCGCCGCCGGCGGAGACCGAGCCAGAGCCAGAGGTGGATTGGTCGGTGATGGAGGAGCTGAGCAGGCTGTGTGGCCAGCTGCAGGCCATGGTGGACGCGCACAAGGCGCGCCTGGAGAAGGCGGAGGAGAAGCTTCGCGAGAGCGGCGCGGCGGCGTGGATGATGGATCTGGAGGCGGAGGTGGGTCGCATGGCGCCGGAGGATGTGCTGGCCCTGGTGACTAAGCTGGCGGTGCTGCGGGACGGCGTGGCGGAGCGCGCCCACGAGATGCTGCGCGAGGCGCTGCTCGCTGTCGCTGCCCCGACCCCGACCACCCCCACCACCCCGCCGCCCGCGGGCTTCTGAATTCGAGATCTACCACCTCTCCATGAAATGCATCTCCATGAAGAATAAACTGATCTCACAGTCGTCACAGATCGAGATCGACCTAGCTTCCCTTTTATTTTGTATTAGTCGTCGTCGTTCCATCGTCGTCCATGCATTGATCGTTGTATCCGCAGTTTGAAGTTTGCTTTCGCTTCCATCCATCCATGGAGATTTAGTATTTTGTATCCCTGCATCTTATTATGTCCTGTTGCTGTATCGTCATCTGCTCAGCGTTTCTTCACCTCCATGTATTGGCTGCAGCCACCGGATGTAATCATCTTTATTTTGATAAAGAATTATGCATTAGCTACATGCTTGTGTTCTTCTTCTTGTTATATATTGTTGTTTTTTTTTTGGAATACGCAATGAGCACATTTTTTCTATTAAGAGGAATAAAAGTTATTTACAATAAAATACAAAACAGCAGGGGACTGAGACAGGATAAAAGCACAAAATCAAAGTTATATATTGTTGTTAAATTTCTCTCGTACCATAACAGAGTGACACCCCGCTAGCCACATAGTAATTAGTAGCACCCGCAAGAAATAAGAAAAAGCTCTTCTGGTTGTTTTCCTCTTCATGGAATAAACAGTTCAAGTTGTTCTCACGAGATGAGCGCGAAAGTGAAAACGACTTATTACTTTACAAGCTCTATTTTAATAATAAAGTTAGAGACATCTTACACCCTACGTGCTATCTTTATATATACCAAGATTGTTTCAAAGCTAGAAATGGAAACCATTACAATATAAAAGTGCAAATTAAATTAGCCAGAGCCTGACAATCCACCTATGTACTACCTCTTCATTCTTCTTGGGTTCAAGAGGATAAGGCCTCTCTTCTCATTGCCATGTCTATACCAGTGTGAAAGAAGTCGGCTGACTAGACCAAGTCGGCTAGATGAACTAGGAACAGGATTTGTTGTTTGAACGTTAAAAAAGCCGATTAGTCCAATTAATGGATCCATTAGCGACTAATTGCTGCTTAATTTGATTAATGGGCCAAGCCCCACACATATGGTGCTGGTTTCCACTTCGTTTGCTAGTGATAGTTACAAACCTACAATCATGGCATGATCCACAGTAGAAACTATTTTGTTGCAATTGGCTGAGTATTACCAGCAACATTAACATACTAGTAATTGGTTGAGTGCTAAAAGTATAATTGGTTTAGTAGTAACAATATAATGTATGTTTAAATGGAAGCAAAACTGAAATATGAAGCAAATATACATATTTTTCTGTGAAGGACAAATTTCGAATTATTCCGACTAATCGTCCGTATTCCGATTAACCGTTCAGTGATATCCTATCAGTTTGACACCTATTTTCCGTCTTTTAAAACACTGGTCTCTACCCAATCATCTCCACTTGGACATGTTGCATTGAACGATTCAATTCAATGAGTATTTATCTTTGTTCACTCTGGATATTTCAACCCTTCATTATGTTGAATTGAATCTCCTATATACTTAAATTTGTACTAGAAAATTAAAATGAACCAACAATGCATTTAAATATGTGCTTTAGAATGAAATGCAACGCGTTTAATAATATTAAATCTAAATCGATCTACATTCTAAAATAGAGTTATTTTAATAGAATTACGTTCTTTTTCAGTTCACCTAAAAAAGGGACCACTATTTTTTTTTACAAAGCTAAAACGACACAAATTTACATGACCAAGCAATGGTGCTTATGCAAGGTACCTTGCCTCAAACATATGCCCAATATGAGCGAAAAAAAAAACAATCGTCTTAACAAATATTAATTTACTCCATCCGTCCCAAAATATAAGCATTTTTAGCTATGAATAAAATATAAGCATTTTTAGCTATGAATCGTCCAGATTCATAGCTAAAAATGCTTATATTTTGGGACGGAGGGAGAGTAACTGCAAATATTGTATCCAGCTAAAAAAATATTCAATCAAACCATAAACTAGTATATATTTTTGCCTGAAATAAAATCTGGTAACTATTTCCAGTGGACATATATACAAGTAGATATGGCCATAAAATATAATTTTCAAGAAACATTACAAAACTTTTGGACTGATCTAGCTAACTGTGCAGTGCTAGCAAATATGGAATCATCTAATAATGGATAGAAAAGATAGTACAAAAGAAACACAAAAAACATTCAATATATACCAGCCAGTAGATTCAAGCGTTCGCGCGATAATGATCTCGCTCCCTATTAAATGTTATGATATGTAAAGTGTATAGATATTCTAAAAGAGTTTTTGACGAACAAATTTGATAGCAAGTTTAGTTACAATCTTTTTAGCTATAATGGAAATATTATCATGATAACAAATAATTAACCATAATTATGTCTAGCATGTGAAATTTATTGTAAATCTTCTATTAGCATGTTAAAGAAAAAATATAAAATTTATTGTGGTAGTAGGATTATTTAGTTTTAAATCTAACTCATTTCATATCAAATTTTATAAACATGCTTGATTTTGATATGGGTTAAGTTTTGAACATCCTATTTTTAAAACAATAAGTTTTGAACCATTTGAGAACGTTGGTATTTATTAGAATTGTTTGTATTATTCTAATTTACCAGGAGTATTTATGCCAATGTTACACTTTTTTTTTGGAATAATCATCGGAGGAGAGAATGTTACACTTTTTACATCAACTCCCTTTTTATTTTTCTTTCTTTCATGAACAACGGAACTGTTTAATGGTCACCTTCTAGGTCATTTCTTTTTAATCTGATCAAAGTTACCCATGATATTTTTTTTACTCACGGCCCCAGGCCTTCTCCCAAGGAAGTCTACATCTACTCCTTTTTCATTTTCTCTTTCATGAACAGCGGGATTATTTAATGGTCACCTTTTGGATCATTTCTTTTTAATCTGATCAAAAAGTTACCCATGATATTGTTTTACTCACAGTCCTAGGCCTTCTCCTAAGGAAGTCTACATTTTTTCCTTTTTCTCTCTTTCATGAACAGCGGGACTGTTTAATGGTCACCTTCTGGGTCATTTCTTTTTAATCTGATCAAAGTTACCCATTTTTTTTTACTCACAATCCTAGGCCTGCTCCCAAGAAATCTCCTGATTCTTCCGGTCTTCCTATTCTCTGTATATATCCAACCGTTCTTTTTAAATCCAACAGTTCATCTAGTCTAGCATACATGGCTTAATGTGAGAAAGAATAAACATTCCCCATTCATTTGATGAGATGAGATGAGATATGTTCGCTCTTATCAAGAACATGCCTCCAAACAGAACCATAAATTTATGCTCACTTTTTCCAAGTGATAAACTAAACTGATCCACATGATCATTCTTCTCAATGACATGTCACCAAACTACATTGCCCCAAATCAAAATATTTAGCACAAATACATCATCCTTGAGAAAGAAAATGTTTTTTTTTTGTTTATATCGAGGTCCAGGAAAAATTGCACATATCTCCAAAACACACATCACAATTTCCTGTCAACTTCATAACATGGATTCTCTCACATAACTACTGTGGGTTACTTTGCTTATGTACTTCTGATTCCTGCAAACAAAATCAGTATTTTAAAAGCTAAGAGTGATCTCAAGATTAGTGTCTATAATTAAATTTTAACAGTAGTTTCCCATGAGTAAATTCTTCAAACAAAGCCAACACACTACTGTGATAAATAAAATGAAAAAATTGCTTGCATGACAAATATTAGCCTTTTAATACAACAAGGCATGACCATAAAATTTTACATGTACAGTATGCACAAAAGAGGGCAAATCACCACCTAATAGTTCTGTAGACTACTGTACGTAGTAGCATATATACTCAGGAACGATTCATTGGTACAGAATGCTGACAATTGATACAGAAAACAAATTAAACCGAGTCATTGCTCAGGAAACTAGCAACTATATATACTCTCCTGCTGATGAAGTCACAAGTGTCAATCATCAGTACTGACACTGTGGAGAAGTCATTTTTACTCCCGGTTGGTAACCCCTTTAGTCCCGGGTTTTCAACCAGGAGTAGGAATCCGGGACTAAAGATAGGCATCTTTAGTCCCTGTTGAAATAACCGGGACTAAAGATCCATCTTTAGTCACGGTTGATGTTACCAACCGAGACTAAAGAGAGGAATCTTTAGTCCTGGTTGGTGACACCAACCGGGACTAAAGATCCTCGGCCCCCTGACATTCATCTGACAGGGGGATGAACCGGGACTACAAATGATCTTTAGTCCCGGTTGGATCTTTAGTCCCGGTTGGTAACATAGAATGGCTCTGGGGTTTTCAACCGGGACTAAAGATCATTTGTAGTCCCGGTTCTTTTTGGAACTGGGACTATTGTGGTATTGGGTCGACCCAGTAAAGATCATTTCTCCACCAGTGTGAATACATGTATACAAGTAAAATTAATTATATATGACCGCACATTGGCATACTTTGACCCTAATTACCAAGGCGAATCATGGACTTCACACAAATATGCTCATCCAAACCGCAAAATTTATATATAGTGTACATTTGTTACTCACAAATCACAATTTGATATACTTGGGATATATATGTCCATCACATGTCAGAAAATATTGCCAGCCTATATGCCCATGTAACCATTCAGATTTATATACTTTGGACACATTCAGTATTTTCAGTAATACATACTTCAGAGTTCAGATATGTCAGAAAATTGCAAGTCGATATGTCCATCATCACAATTGAGATTTATAAACTTCAAACAAATTCAAGCACTTCATATAAGTGAGATAAAATCTTAATATACAGCATGTTCCAAACAAAGAAGAAACAAATTTTCATAACATCAGCAGTGATTCACTATAAGTTCAGAAAACCAAAAAAGGGATGAAATTTGACCTTTGTGCAACAGATCGACAGAGAAGGAACCAAAAAAAAATGAGTGCTTACTATCACCTGCTGTGCTTGGACCTGTTAGTGATATGCCCTAGAGGTAATCATAGAGATGATTGTATCACACATGTGGAATAAATATATTTAGATGATCAGCACATGTATTAATTGATGATCATGTCTCATGGATCATGGTATAGAGATACCAAATTAATAATGTGGACACATGTTAGTGAACATGTTGTTGGATAGACCCAACATGAGACACTGTAAGAGCCATATGTGTTGTGTCATCAGTTATCTCATTTAGTGTTGGTGTTGAATCCTTAGACCTGAGATTATCATGGTTCCCAACATGTGTAGTTAGCTTACTTAGGGACTGCTAAACGCTACTCCGTAATTGGGTAGTTATAAAAGTAGTTTTCGGGTATGCTATGAAACATGTAGTGGGATACGAATAATCAAGATG